TATGTACCTATGTAAGTATATGCAGAAAAATACAAGGGAATTGAGTGGGAAAAGGGAGGTGTTAATAGCTAGAAAGATCAGGAGAGGCACCAAAAATAGGAGATGGTGTTCTAGCTGGAAACTAAGGATTCTAAAAAGTGGAAGGGAAGAGGAAGTGCATTCCAGGCATGGGGGACAACCTGTGTATAAAGACAGAATGTCATGTATGGTTGGAGTGAAGAGTACACGAAATAACGTGTGATAAGATTAATAAGACACATTGGAGCCAAGTTATTTAGATTTTAGTGTAGAAGCAACAGGGAGAAACTTGAGCTTTTTCTTGTTGTTGTTTTTTTTTGGGGGTGCTAGGCAGTGGGGTTAAGTGACTTGCCCACAGTCACACAGCTAGTATTATATGTCTGAGGCCGGATTTGAACTCAGGTCCTCCTGAATCCAGGGCTGGTGTTCTATCCACTGTGCCACCTAGCTGCCCTGAAACTTGAGCTTTTTGAGCAGGGGAGTTATAGGGTCACACTTCTGCTTTAGGGGTATCATTTTGGTATGGTATGGTATGGAAGAGGGATTGGAGAGGAGGAGGAAAGATGTGAAGCAGAAAGACCAATGAGGAGCCTTTTTTGGTAGAACAAACAAGAGGTAACAAGGACCTTGTTTAGAGCAGTATGTGACTGCAAAGAAGAGGATGGTTGGGAGAGAGAGATTGGAAGTAGAAACATGGAGGGACAAGATTCTTTTGTTTCATCTTAGGTCAGCTATGTCATTCAGACAATTGTGTAGCCAATATTATCGTGTACTATAGAATATTATTTATAAAACTTGATTATTTCTAATGCTTTGTGTACATAAATTCTTAAGATTTTATAAAGATTGGAAAATAGGCATGTGAGTTGGTGATTATCATTTTTCAATTGCCTCTTTTTATAAGTAAGGTCCATGATTTTTCCCAAACAGTGGATATCCTTCCCTCTTTATCAGGCCTTTGACATCCCTCCATACCCTAAGAAAGGTGTCTTCTCTAGCACATACCACTTCTGGGCATACTTGATCTAATCCAGCTGTTCTTCCCAATGTTGACTTCTTTAGTGCCATCTCTATGTGTGGTATATACTAAGGGTAATAAAAGGTTAACACAATAGCCTGAAAGATAATGTTGATGTCACTGATGCTGAGTTACAGAAATCCTGGTAGATCTTCATTTTTCACCTTTGTTGTCCTTCATATTTGCTTTCCTGATCCCCTCAGCTACTAGTACCTCTCCCCTGCAACTATCTTGTCTTCATTCTAGGTATTGTGTGTGTGTGTGTGTGTGTGTGTGTGTGTGTGTGTATCTACATGTATATTTTATCTCTTCTAATGAATAGGAACCCCTTTGGAACAGGAAGTGTTTTATTTTTGTGTCTCTATCCCCAGAGCCACAGTGTCCTGCACATAGTAAGGATTTAATTATATATGGATTGACTCATAAGGCAGCATGGTACAATGGACATTGGCTTTTGAGTCAGAGGATGTGGGTTATATTCCCACCCATGTGACAGTCCCTTAACCTCTCTAGATCACAGTTTTCATAAATATAAAAACTATATATATAAATAGAATTGATCAAGCTCTTGTAGACCTTAGACACCATCCAGTTCAATCCTTTCACTACATTGTTTTCTGGTGTCAGTATCCTCTATGGTGAGACACAAAAAGTACTTGCTTTCAGAAGAAAAGCTGCAGAAGAAAAGCCAACAGAATGTCAACACTGCCTCAAGGAACTTGGTCTGATTGGTCTCATTTTCTGAGCTATCTACATTAGGAGATTCTTTTTCTTGTGCTTCATTTTTATCTTCACAGACTTCTGAAAACTGAAATATCATCTGGACTTATTGATTGGATGAGAGCACAGAGTAGTTTCCTTCACAGACAGTAGATAGGAATCTGAAGTAGGTGATGAGCAGGAGACAGAAGTGTCATCCCAAAGCTTTGGCCCTCCCCCCTCCCCAGGGCAGGAGGCATGTGCCGGGCAGAATCACACCCTCCATCTCTGGACTAACCTCCTTTATACATTCTGTATTCGGCAGAATTTTAAAGTCTCTATCCTAAGGGTTCAATTCATTTTCTATCTAGTCAAACGTAGTAGCAGCTTTATCATTATTTACATTTCTGCCTTTTGTTCTGGCATCTAAATTTCAAGAAGTATAATTTGGCCAATGACAATATTCTTCCTATTTGTCAGCAGCTTTTTTAAAACTTTATTTAATTCTGTAATTGTAATAAAAATATACACAGATTTTTTTAAGAATGATTTTTGCCTTGTCATTTGATAAGGAATGTTGATAAGACTGCACTCTTATTTTAAATGTGGTGACTGCTAAAGAAATGGAAAAATTCAATGGTGGTAACCAGAAGATGTAATAACTTATATTCACAAGAATATTATTTCATTTGATCCCATCAGATATGTCTTGTTCTCCCCCATTTTACAGGTGGGGGAAACAAATTCAGAACAATTAACTTGGCAAAGGTCACACAGCTAGCTCGTAAGAGACAGGCCTGAGGGGGGCTCAAAGCAGAATTGGTTGTCTAACTGATGTTAAGTCTAGTGTTCTTTCCATACCACTGCACTTTCTTAAAAGAAATGAAGCTACTGGAGAGAGTGGAAGGAACAAAAGCTAAGTGGTAGAGTCCATAGTAGAACATCGTGTTTTACAGAACAAAGTTCTACCACTAAGCTAAGTGTCTTCTTTGAACTTGGATATGCTTTACAATTTACTTGTCTAGAGATCTTTCAGAGGCTGTCCAACTTCATGATGTCATTAAGGAGGAAGTTTAGGCCACGAGATGCCTACGGCTATCACATCACTAGGGAGATACTTATCCATTATGATCTTCTAGTGTTTTCACATCCACAGACTGGGTCTCAGAGTTGGAAGAGACCTCAGAGCCACCTGAACTAATGTGTATCTGAACAAGAGTTCACCCAATAACATACCTGACAAGTGGCCATCCAGCTTTGGAGACCTCTAGTGAGTGGAAGGCAGGCCCAAGTGTCTGTTATGTGTCAGACACTGCTGATACAAAACAAAAATAAAAAGTCAGCACAAGTCTGATCCCTTTTCTCCAAGGCAGCTGAAAACAACTACCCCATCCCTCCACACTCCATGCCTCCCCCCCCACTACCCCCCTACTCAGGTCTTGTTCTTTTCTCTAGGCTAAACATCCCCTTACTTGGCACCATGATCTCTAAGACCTCTTACCCTCTATCTTTTGGACATGCTCCAGTTTCTCCGTCTTTTCAAAAAACGTGGTATCTGGCACTCCTGATTTGGCCTAATCAAGAAAGAATACATGGAAACTATATTCTGGACTTTGGGTTTTTCTTAATGCAGTGTAGTTTTCTTCAGCTCCTGTGCTAAAACCCCCACTCCTTCCCCTAGGAATTGTTGTCTAGGCTAAGTCTTCCCTCACTCATCCCATATTTGGGAGTTTGAACTCCTGCTCTTCATATTCTATAGTAAACAAGCACAGTGAATCATACTTAGATGATGTTACCCCATCATATTCTCCTAGGAGGTTCTCAAAAAATGTCTACTATGCAAACAGTATGATGGCCTTATTAATTAAAAACCTTTCTAGCACTATACATTTAAAGTTACTGATGGGAGTATTCTAGAAAAATATTTGCCCTTGCCAGGACAAATCAATTTTCCCTGATGTTCAAGTATCACTTTCTCTACAACAGAACTCATCACATTTCGAATGCAGTTGGTAGAAGTCTGGTTATTCAAGAATGTCGACGGGTAGATTTTGTGATGATATTGATCTGATAGGAAAAGAATATCTTGAATAAAGATGTTCAAGCTGCTTGCACAATCTTAACATGGATTTTTTCTACCTATGAAATGAAAGCTTTTTAAAAACTTTTGGCAAGATATATTTGACTGGTCACTCTGCCTCAAGCCTCTCTATAATCCAGCCCATCCTCTACTCAGCTGTCAAACTGATTTTCCTTAAGCTCAGGTCTGACCACATCACATACCACCACAACCACCCCCTCCATTTCAGTACCTATATGCCATGCCATATTGTGCTGTGTAACTTCTGTGCCAGACACATAGTAGTCACTTAATGCTTACTGAATTAAATTCTTTTTATGACAATTATGCTGATCACTATTATATCTAGTTTTACATACAAACAAAGCTATTATCTAGTTCAGATGCCATTGAGTTAAGGTTGGATTGCAACACAATACCCTGAATATATTATTTGATATTCCAAAATAATTCAGATTCTAAGTCTTTGGAATTTTTCAAGAGAAGAGGGAGAGACGGTATTGGAACTGTTGAGGGGTAGGTGGAGAGACTTATTTGTATCTTACTTAGAAACTCAGACATTGTGGAATGTGATTCCTACTCTGACAGCCATTCTCAGCCCTTTTCCTCCCTATAAAAGTCTGTAGGCCCAGAAGCTTGTTCAAATAATTGGCTACCAATAGACCTAAGGGGCAGATGGGCTAAATTCCGTGCCTCTGTTTCTGTTGGGTGAGTTTGGATTTTCCAAGAAACCAAAATAAATCATGTATTTTTCTTCCTTCCTCTAGATTCTTTATACGACTCACAGTCCTGCCTCTTATGAGGCATTCTGCTTCGAACAATGCTCAGCCGTCAGTGCCTGTGAATTTCTCCCAAAAGCAGAGTAGCAGTACAGGAACATTTAGAGGGATGTCCTAGAATTGAATTAATGGCTAGATATATGGCTTTTTCCAATCTACTATTAACATGCTTGGCATCTGGTTTCATTCAGCTTGGAATATCCCCTTTGGATATGTGTTAACATTTGAGTAACTGGGTCATAGGGATTACTGACTAGAGGCTATCCACAGGGAGATAATAAATAAGGCAGCTTTGTGTGTATCCTGCCCTAGAATGTAACAGATTACCCCGTGTGTGCTCTCGCCTACTTTTATCCCTCTTGAATTTAACATTTGATCATTTCTTTTTTGTTGTCACAATAACAAGGTCACAAAGACTTCGGGTTTGAGACCAATGGAGCGGAAAGATATCAAAGCTGTGAAAGAATTAATTAACAACTATCTGAAGCAGTTTCATCTTGCCCCAGTGATGAATGAAGAGGAAGTGGCCCATTGGTTTCTGCCTCAGGATCATATTATCGACACATTTGTAGTAGAGGTAAAGATAAGGTGATTAGCAGAAGTTTGAACATCCTAAAGCCTCAGAGCTAGAAGGGACCTTTAAGGGCACTGTGTAAGCTAACCCCCATCCAAAGCAAGAATACCCTCCACAACATCTGCAGTGAAGACTTCCTGGTATAGGGAAACCCAATGCCTCTGTGCCAATTCTATTACTGGACAGCTCCAATTGGGAGGAAGTTTTTTCTTATCTTGAGGTAAAATCTGCCTCCTTGGAACTTGGTCCACATGTTGGTCAGTACCTCTTCCTTATAATTGTCCTTCAGATATCTGAAGGTAAGTATCATGTTCCCCATAAGTATGAAGACTTCTTCAGGCTGAACTTCCCTGTTCTTTTAAATCAATCCCTGTATGACTTTAAATCTCTTATCCTCAGCTAGAAGGAAGCTTAGAGGTTATCCAATCCAATCCCCTTAGTTTACAAATGAAGAAACTGAAGCCAGAGGTTAAGTGACTTGCCTAAGGTCTGCGTCACCTCTAGATCCTGGTTAACTTCCTCTCAATACAGTCAACATCCTTGTTAAGATATACAGAGTCCGACCTGAGCTGAGGACAATAAAACCATTACTGTCATAATTCTGTTATTGAAGCCTCAGATCCCATCAGTATTTTTGGCTGCCACATCACAGACTCCTGGGGCTTGAAGTCTCAGAATCCCAGGGTTGGAACAGGACCTCAGAGGACATCTAGTCCAATGCAAATCTAAAAAAAAGAGCCCTCCATGGAGAGGAAACCCATACTATCTTTTCAGGAACCCACTGCATTTTTGGATTGCTCTAATTGTTAGGAAGTTTATCAAGCCTAAAGGTGCCCTATTGTTCTTATAACCACTACTTCTCTAATTCTGCCCTCCCACACGACAGCCCTGAAGTCCTGGAGGACAGCTTTCATGTCAGCATTCATCTCCAGGCTAAACATCCCCTTTTCCTGATTTTATATAGCATCATCTCAAGGTCCTTTACCATCTTGGTTACGTTCCACTGCACATCAGTGCCCTTCTTAAAATATAGTACAGAGAACTGAACAAGACCATTATCTCCATACTATTGGACACCATGCCTGTTAAATACAGCTGGGGAAAAAATACATATATACATACACACACAGGTTGCTATAGATTGGGAATGCAAGTCACTAAAAACCCTAGATCTTTCTGAGATGAGCTTATCTAGACACACCTCTTCATCTTGTACTTGTCAAGATCAAATGAAATGTTTATAAAAACATACAGCATGATACCTAGTACATAGCAGGTACTCCAGTACTTATTATCTGTGTGACCCTGAGCAAATCACTTAACCTCTGTTTGCCTCAGCATGAAATTGCTAATATTCATCTATACATTTTTATCACTTTAAAGACTTTGTATGAACATACAAAATACCTATACTGTATATAAATTTGTATGAAAAGAACATCTTTTGTAAATTCTTTAGACTATTACTTGAACAAGCTTTTAGTAAGTGCTTACTATATGCAGGGTACTGGGGACTGAAGATGAAAAGTGGTTCCTGGCCTCAGCTAGGCAACACAGTGGATAGAGTGCTGAGTTCAAACATGGCCTCAGACACTTACTAGCTCTGTGACCTTGGGCAAGTCATTTCATTTCACTTTGCATCATTTCCTCATCTATAAAATAGGGATAATAGCAGCTACCTTGCAGGATTGTTGAAGGGCCAAATGAAATATTTATAAAGCACTTAGCACAGTGCCTGGCACCTAGTAGGTGCTATGTTAGCTATTACTATTATTATTATTTAATATTATTAAATACTATTATTATTAAATATTATTACTATTATATGGACTATATCACTCTATTCTGTCCATAAGAACAGCTTGGCTAAAATCCAGGTAAACTTATCTATAGTAGTTCTTAACCTTTCTCATGTCATAGACCCTTTTGCCTGTCTGGTGAAACCAGTGGACATATTCTTAGAATAACATTTTTAAACAATTGAAAATGCTAAGTTGAAGTCAGAGACTAATGAAAATAGAGGTGTTATTTTTCCCCCTTGCTCAAGAACCCCATGAAAATCAATCTGTGGATCCCATCTAGGGACTCCAGGTTAAGAACTCCTCCTGATTTACTAGACAAGTACTCCTGTCAAAAAAAAAAAAAAAAAAGAAAGGAAGTTAATGTGGCCTGGCCTGTTCTACAGTGGTATTTTTTTTACAGTGGTATTTTGTGATCAATGCTTTCTTTTCTAGATATTCACTGTTATGTTATAAAATTTAACCAAGAACTGAAGTCAAGCTTCAATTATAATGTGTAGACTCCACTCTCTTCCCTCTTGTGAAAAGCAAGATGTTTGCCTTTCTGCAGCCCTTCAGCACCTCCTCTGTTCCCCAGCATCTTTCAGAGATCCATGGCAGTGGCTCAGTGATCACATTCACCACCAGATTTGGATCTGGTGACTTTAATCCATCAAGGCAAGCTAGGTATCTTTCGTGTGAGCTGCTGCTTTCTAGCCATCTTCCAAATCTTTTACTTTTGCAGTTAATTTTTTAAAAATGAAAATGAAGGACTTTAACTAAATTTAACTTTGCTAATTCTAGCCTGTTGTTTTCTCCTGCTGACTGCCTTTTGGATCTATAGCTGTTGTCCTATCAATGATTAAGCAATTTCCCCCAATTTCACATACTTCAAAATATTTGAAACATATTTCTTGGAAGATCCCATGCCTTCCACATTTTTTCTCTTCTTCCTTGAATCTCACTGCATTTTTAAAAGATTTGGTCACAGATAGTATGGTGTGGTGGATAGAAAGCCAGCCTCAGAGGCAGGAAGACCTGGATTCAAGTATCACTTTGGCTTGTACTGTCTTCTGGGCAAGTCTTTCAAGTAATCAGTGCTCCCAGATAACTCTAGGTCTAGAATTACATTAAATCTGCATTTCCTAGTCCTGTCCATTTCATTTAATAAGGATGGCTTGCCAGTGCAAGGCACTAGGAATAGTAGGATAAGCAAAGGTTGGTAGAGCTGTCAGTGAGATTACACTGTACCTGGGCATTAGAGTACACATATAAATATAATACAAGGTAGGAAATGAAGAGGGGATAGGAGAGATTAGACAAAATTTTTTAGTGGTGTTTAGAAACAGTGAGTTCACTAATAACTGGAGTCATTAGGGAAAAGCCTTCACCGAGGAAGTTGCATCTGAACTAAGTCTTGAATGGGCTCCAGTAATGAATCTGAAAAGTCAAGATAAAGACAAGCATGGAAGACAGCTTTTGCAAACACTTGGAAGATATGAGAATGGCTTGAGGAACGCAAGGAAGAACTTAAGAGTTGGGCTGAAACGTAGGCTGCATGAAGGAAAATAACTTTCCCTTTCCAGTAGTCTTTCTTGGACTTTGAAGTTAAAAGATCTGACTTCTAGTCCTAGTTCTGCCATTAATTAGTGTGATCTTAGGCAAGTGACTTCGCCTCTCTGACCTCCTTTTTCTACCTATAAAACAACGGAAATGAAGTACATGATGATTCTTTGCACCTCTAATATTCTCTAAATCTGAAGTTTCCTCATCAGATCAAAGGACAGGATACTTTGAATTTAATAGCTTTCCTTTCCAAACTTCAGGGAAGTGTTTAGTAAGCCAAAGAGGCTGAAAGATGGTAAAGAAGAAGAAAAAAGAATGCTCTCTAAACTGGGTTAATGAGATCCTAATTCTGTTTCCTGTATAAAATATTAGCAAAGTTTTTTCCTCATTCTTCAGATTTCCCAATCATCAAAAAAAAATGTAAATATGTCCAGATATTTCTAGGGTTTATGAATTCCTTGCTGTTTTATCTTTTTATTGGAATTTTATTGGCAAGTCAAGAGATAGAAGGAAAATGATGTATCTTTGAATTGGGGTTTGGGGCATTTATTTCCCCACCACTTAGGAAATACTCTCTAAATGAATTCCTTTTGTGGTAGTAGTTATAACCATACCAGAACAACAACCAAAATAATAATAACAGTAATCACCTATGTACAGAACTTAAGAATCTGAAGCCAAATTTAGTGGAACTGGTCCTTAGAATTCATGAAGATGGCTGGGTTCTTGGTCTTAAAAGGGCAAAAACAATGTTTTTGAGGATGGGCGTCTCAAGCACTTCTTAGTGTAGGGCAGGTAGTTTTGTTTGGGTGGTGGAGGAATTTGTTCTTTCCTTATTTACAGAAGAGATTCACTTCCTAAGACTGATATTTTCTCCACTTCCAAGATCTATACCAAAGAGAAAACTCAAAATGTAATTTTATAGCATGTTTATCTGCTATTAAGCACAAAACAGGAAGGAGGGATTTTTCAGATGTGCACTTTTACTTATGAGTTCATAGCTTTTGTCATTCTTAGGAATTCTAAGTCAAAATATAAACAAGAAACCTCTGGGAACATTTTTTTTTAAAAAAACCTGTTTCCCAATCCTAATAGAATGTTTTTCTGACTAAAATCATATAATGATAAAACATGTTAAGGGTATACAAGAAATTCACTGGTATAATACTTAACACCAAAGAATCTTTTAATAATTGCTAGTAAAATATGGGGCAGATAGGTGGTGCAGTAGATAGGGTTCGAGGCCTGGAGTCAGGAAAACCAGAGTTCAAATCCACAGCCTCAGAGACTTCCTAGCTGTGTGAGCCTGGGCAAGTCACCTCACCCTGTTTGCCTTAGTTTCCTCATCTGTAAAATGAGCTGGAGAAGGAAATGGCAAACCACTGCAATATCTTTGCCAAGAAAACCCCAAATGGCATCACAAAGAAGCCGACATGACTGAAACCACTGAACAACAGTAAAATATCTCTGTTAAACAAGAAGAATTATGAATTTTGCTTTCCTTGAGCTTGATGTTTAGGCTTATTTAACAAAAAGCGAAGGAAAATCTCTAACAAAACAAATTAGGGAAGGTCAAGGGAGAGGCATGGATCAGTGTTACATTGCCTAACACACCTGGGGAAATAAAAAGTTCTCTCTTAAATAGCTCTTATTCTTTTTTTTGTACATTTTTTTTTCTTTTTTAGGCAATTGGGGTTAAGTGACTTGCCCAAGGTTACACAGCTAGTAAGTGTCAAGTGTTTGGTCTGAGGCCAGATTTGAACTCAGGTCCTCCTGACTTCAGGGCCGGTGCTCTATCCACTGTGTCACCTAGCTGCCCCAAATAGTTCTCATGCTAAACTATATAATGACGGTTCTCATTGGTAGCTAGTGTGCTGCTTTCATCAGTGTTGCTTTGGAGTCCTGGTTACTGCTTCCAGAAATCATTCCCAGGAAGTTTTCACTTCAAAAGCTTTACCTCCCTGAAATCTATATAAATTGCAGGTTTAAGTTGGCAATGAATTCGAGCCCACATCCTACCAAACGTGCAGTGGACCCTCCTAATCCCAGTTGGCAAGTAGTGTTGTATGAATCTGACCTTTACCAGTGTCTCATCCTAAAGATGTAATGCAAATTAAACCTGGACATTCATGAAAAAAACAGGTAACAAAATAAGTCCACTTCACACAGGTAGGGCGGCCTGGGGCAATCCCCAAGGACTTGGGAGTCAAAAGACCTGGGTTCAAATGCTACCTCAGGTACTTAATGTCTGTGTGATCATGGACAATCAATAAAATATTTAAGTGCCAGATGCTGGAAATATAAAGAAAAAAAGCTGTCCCTGCCTGCTTATATAGGCAGTCAAGCAGCATAGTAGAGTGTGCTGGACCTGGAGTCAGGAAAACCTGAACTCAAATACAGCCTCAACACTTACTAGCTGTGTGGCCCAGGGTAAGTCACTTAACCTCTGATTTAGTTTCCTCATCCATAAAATAGGGATAATAGCACCTACCTCACAGGACTGTTGTAAGGATCAAATAAGTTAACATGCATTAAGCATTTTGTAAAGCTTAAGGCGCTATGTAAATGATTATTATTATTAGCTATTCTACTGAGGATGGGAATGTGTAGTCAACACAGCAAAAACAGTTCCTGCCTCAAAGAGCAGGAAAGATTTTGTGAAGAACTTCATCGTGGAGCTGAGTCTTGAAGGAATTAAGGAATTCTATGATACAGAAGGGAGAAAGAATGGCCATTCCAAATGTGGAAAACAGCCAGCGCCAAGTAATCAGAGGCAGCAGGAGGAAGATCACTCGTAAGGCATAGCCAGGCCAGTCTGGTGAGGCAGCAGGAGGAAGATTACTTGTAAGGCATAGCCAGGCCAGACTGGCAAGGTAGAAGGAGGCTATGATGGGGGTTCATATCTCAGGTTTATGTGACAAAACCACTGGTCAAATTCAAATGGTTAGATTAGTGGGAGAATGGGGGGGGTTCACAGTTCACAGCTCACATCTGTTTTGTTTTTTAGTGCTCAAGTGGTGTGTTAACTGACTTCCTGAGCTTCTACACACTACCTTCCACTGTCATGCATCACCCTGTTCACAAAAGCCTAAAAGCCGCTTATTCCTTCTACAACATTCATACTGAGACTCCACTGCTGGACCTAATGAATGATGCACTCATTATAGCTAAATTGGTAAGCAACTTTTTCTTCAAAATGTATTTGCCAAAAACTTTCTTACATAGATGGTAAAACTAAAAACATCTCGATATTTTGACAAGAGTTTCCCCAGAACCTCTAGTGGTCAGTATCTTTCTAAACATCACAATTACCTCGAAAGAAAAATCTCAGGATAATTAGTATTTATCTCTGACTTATGAAATAGCACAACAGAGTGAAAGCAGTGGGATATTAACAAGGCTGGAAAACTAAGAGGATTTGTAAAAAGAAGCTCCTTGTGTCAGTTAGATATCTGATCAAATAAGGAAAATCTAACTTTACCTGATGATATATTCTGTGTTAACATTCTAAGCTTCTCAAGCCAGAAGTTAGGATAACTGTTGGGAACTTGCTTCAAACAATAGGCACATGCCCCTCATCTCTGCCACTGGGGGAGCCTCAGGCTGAAGGAAAACTTGAATTAAGAGTTCTGAGCTGCAACTGAACAAAAGCCAATTGGGTGTCCTCACTAAATCTGGCACCAATGTCATGATCCTCCAGGAGTAGGGGGGCAGGCTGGCCAGTCATCTGAAACAGAGCAGATCCAGTCTCCTGTACTGATAAGTAGGATGCTCAGGTCTGACAGTGATTGTTCACTTTCAGCCAAGGTGAGATATGGAGACATAGTCTTCTAAACAAAACCACCAAGAAGTCCAAAGCATTGTAATAGAACAAGTAAATGTGGCAAAAGTTTATGGTGATAGTGTGTTGAAACAGAATTCCATGAGTTTTTCTGAGCTTTGGTAATAAAGTTTTGTCTTTCTTGAACCAAACAAAAATTGAGCTAAAAAGAGCCCAGTCAATCAACATCACTCATGCTGTGTTCTGATTTCAGTTGCTGCAGTGTCAGAAAGTCATTCCCGTAGCAACACTGAACTGGAAAATTAAATATTTCATTCAAGCCCTAAGTCACCGATTTTTTAGTCCATTTACAAGTGGTTAATGTCCTAAAACTTAATTTTTAAAACTAGAATTTGACTTCTATCAGGCCAAGGTAGGAGTTGTATAACTCGTTAACATTTATGTTCAATACACCAATCTACATGAAATTGTTGGAATTTTGTATTCCTTTTCAGATGGTCGGAACCCAGAGTTCAGTAGTTAGAAATCCCGAGAATGAGCAACTACATTGGTCCAAATATGAGCCACTTTGATTGTCTCTCTAAAATGAGATGTCCTTGAAAGAGAAAAGTATGTACGTGTAGATGTGCATTGAAAAAATCCAAAGTAAGGTTTTCCTAAAGACCAGATTTGGAGGGGAAAGGCAACCTACATTGGGACCAATGCAGTATTTAGACAACATTCTCCTAAAAACACATGCTTTCAAAAATGATGTTACCATGTCAATTTTGATCTAAAAAGCAGTCTGCTGGTCTAATTTTCCTGGCTCATTAGGCTTAGATATTCTTGCTGTATCCTCTTAGCAAATATAATTTAAGGCATTAGCGATGATGACTCAACTAGACTGACAGTTCTGAATAAAACATTTTTAAAATTCAGACTTGAAAATCCACTTATTATGGACATCACTGTGTATTTAGAATTGTAAATGCAAATCCAAATTTGCAGGCAGTATCAAGTAAGGAACTTATTACAATATTGTATCTTGATACACTAAGCCCTAATACTTTGAAAATGTTAATTTAAAAATGTTTTTTTTTAATTGGCAGAAAGGATTTGATGTGTTCAATGCACTAGATTTGATGGAAAATAAAACATTCCTAGAAAAACTCAAGTTTGGTATAGGAGATGGTAATTTGCAATATTATTTGTACAACTGGCGATGTCCAGGAACAGAATCTGAAAAGGTAAGTGGAAACTAGAATACATTTCAATTAGTTTAAGTTAATAAGCTCTCTTGGCTTCTTTTTAGAAGATATTTTAAATACTGAGTTTTACATACCTTTACAAATGAAATACTTTCACCTTCTGCTATAAATGTTGGTTTGCTTGCATACACTTGTACAGCTTGGGTAGGCTAGTAGATAGTGTGCTGAGCCTAGAGTCAGGAAGACCCAAGTTCAAATAGACGTTTACTAACATTGTGACCCTGGGCAAGTCACTTAACTTCTGTCTGCCTCAGGGATAACAAGGGTGTTGAGAGGATAGCTGAGATAATAATTGCAAATGCTTAGCACAGAGCCAGTGAATAGTTAAGTGCTGTATGAATGTTATTACTGTTACTCTCTGTTCTGACTACTCCATTTCTCCCCTTCCTTTAGGTTGGTCTTGTTTTACAGTAGGAGGACATTTTCATTTCTAGAACTCTGCAGTCATCATTTGAGTTGATGTTTCTATTTAACAAATCCCGGAACCACTGTTCCAAAGAATAAAAGCACAACTTAAGTGAAATCAAAGTGATCTATAAAATCTGAAAATCTGAAGAAAATCCATACCTGACCAATTTTACTTTTTTTGGGCTATTTTCAAACGAAAAATTCATCCAACTTTTACAGTCCATTGCTGGGAGAGAGTAGGGGAAGAAAGGTACAAAGAGCACATTCCTCTTATTTTCAGACCTTTGACTGCCTCTTGACAAAGAGAAGGTATTTTTCCACTGTAGAAAATGAACTGTTTTTATACAAACTGATCTGCAGCGATGGATTAATGTCAGAAAATCTTTGCTAATACACAGATAAACTGCTGCATTTCTATTTATTAAGTGGTAATGTTTGTCAGTGTCACAGAATGACAGATTCATTCTGAATATTTTTGCTTATTCATTTCACATGGATATTATTTGGGCAGATTTATGGAGGCCAATACTTTTGTAGCTCAAGTGAGAAGTCTTGGTAATTGTTAAGTGTGGAGCAGTATAAAAATGTACTGGGTTTTCTGGTACATTTTTTTTATCCAATAAGCAATGCTGCCAAGTCAATAAAAACACAGATTTGTACTTTACTCTTCGAAGGATCAGTGGGTTGAATCAGTAGCACTGAACTGTTTGGAACAATCATTACATGTGCTGTCTGAAAGATTATACACTCATTACTCTATGTTACAGCTGCTGTCCAGCTTTAGATTTGTTTTTCCTCAAGGCAATGTGAGGGAAGGATGCCAAACTAAAAGAAACCCCAGTGGAATTTATTAATGCTATCAGGACATTGATAGTTTGAATGTTTCCATTGCTTATGCAAAATTGCACAAGTTCCTTTATACCAACTTTATCATGACATCTTTCATTCTAATGAAAATATCTTATTTGTAAATAAGTATTCATAATTTTGTTACTGATGGTGTTTTTATCCAGAGTTTGAAGCAAGGTTTCACTGTATAATATATATGTGTATATAATAATATATATTGCCAATACTCAGAAGAGAGGGAGCTGCTAAATGAGGCCTTGTAAATTGGCCTTGATTTAAATGCCACAGAATTACATTCTTTCACCTTTCTTTACAGTAAGTGTAGTTTCTACTCTTCATTTCACAATTATTTACAACTGTGTGATAAATAACTTTTCCACTTGGTACCAATACAGTATGAAAACAAGCTAAGGGGCCTGCAGCTCTTATCCTAGTTGAGAACTGACAAGAACATGTGATTTCTAAACCTACCACTAGAGGGGTTTATTGGACTATTGGGTCTGTATAGGTAGAGGTGTCAAACACCTGCAACACTCCTGTCTGTGGCCAGAACTGGATTAAAATGTAATTAGGAAACATTTAACAAAATAAATAAAAATACAGTAGTGCATACATAATGTTAATGAGGTTTTCTAAGTCAGGCCCACAGGGATGCTTATATACAGTTTAGTAGCCGCCAGGGGGTTCCCAAAAGTTTTAGTGCTATTTTAAACTATTAAAGTCATTAGAAAGGGTGTCCCAAAAGTCTCAGTGCAGTTTAAAACTATTAGATTATTTCTGCACTAAAATTTTTTGGGACAGTTTGTATCATTGGAATTGCATTTCTCTCAAACACTACCTCCAAGGGTATATACAGTTACAGTAAAACCTTTTCACAACAGGGAGAAAGGTGTTCTCTTCATTCATGGTGGAGAGAAGGCTTCAAAAAGCCAGAGAATCAACCAACAAAAAAAAAATGTTTTGACCAACAACCACTTTGACTTTAAAATATTTTAATTTAGGGAAAGGATTTTATTGGAGATCCTAAAAATATAAGCTAAAAAAATGTTCTTTTTGAGGACTTTTAAAAAAATCTATTTGACTTTCTGAAATTTTGGCATTAACTTGTTTTAAGGTGAAACTATCCCACTTTTACTGATTTCAATTACAATATTTTGACCCTCTTTTAACTTTATGCTATTTCAAAATAAAGCACTTGCTTGACTCTTTTCAGTAGGACATTCATGCCTATCCCATCCCTGTGTACAATTTAAGTATGTTATCAGTAAACATGCCAAAACAAACTTTGTGTAAAACTACCCATATGTTGAGTTAAAAAAAATTTAGATTGGAAATCATGGAACTTTGGACCTACCTAGAGTCAGCATCTAATGCAATTCCTTCAACTAATGCAGAGACTAAGAGGTTAAGTGACCTACTATGGCTACACAGTTAATCAATGAGAGCCAGGCCTAAAAATAGTTCTTACCATGTATTTTATAAAATTTAAGAAACTATCCTAAAAACACATCATTCCAAAATGCTCTGCTGTATTAAAACCAAAACTTATTTCTAGCTAAAAAGCACCTTTGAGATTTATTAATAAACCCTCTCAACAAATACAGATAAGAAGAGTAGAACTCCAAGTAGAACATCAAAATTCAAATTTATGTCTTAGTTGTAAAAATAAACAACTTATATGTCCCCTTCTGCATTCACCTGTGTAATTAGTTTTGTGGTCCTTTTTTCCCAATACAATTGCAGAACATTAGTCTGCCACCAATATTTGCCTCATTTCTTTCTGTACTTGTCATTTCTTTGGCATAGTATTTCATTACATTAATATCATAATTTATTCAGCCATCATTTATCCAAATGTCATTGGACATTTCACTTTTTCCACTAGTGAAAAGAAACCAACAGTAAGAAAATACATATCAGCTCCCTTCTTAAAATCCTTAAAGCAGGGTGTTCTTAACCTTTGTGTCATGGACCCCTCTGGGAGTGTGACAAAGCTTATGGGACCCCTTCTTGGAATTTTTAAATATATAGAATAAAATGTATAGGATTACAAAGGAAATAAATTACATTGAAAGTTAGCAACATTTTTAAGTAAGTGTATAGGCCCACGGTTATGAACCCCTGCTCCAGAGATACAGTTGCAGCAACAAAAACATTCTTGGAACTTTTAAAAAAAAAATTATCTCCTTAACACCATGGGGAGTATGTTTTTTTAATGTATTTAAGATTGTGGCATTGGGAATCTTTCACTTTATTTTTAAACTAAAATTCCTATTTAAAAGTATTAATCCTTCTCCCATCTAGAATATACAAAGGTGCCATACTTTGTGTAAAATCACTAGAATTAGGCCAAGAAAGTAGCTCTGGCAATGTGAAGTCTAGCTTTCCCATCCTTCTCTGAGTTGTGATATGAACCCATTGTCTCCCAGAGAATTGTCACTGAGTAGAGTATATGTTCTTTTTTCCACAAGTCCTTGATGAAATGTAAGCCTAAGTCAGCAAAAATGAATCCACCTCAAGAAATGTAATGGAGAAAATGGGCAACCGCTTTAAGACATTCATGTACGAAGTATGAATTATGACAACTGATTCCCTTTATCAGCTAAACTCAATATAAATTAATACCCCAAATTTCAAGATTAAGTGGATTGTTTCTAGAAGACCATTTGTAGTCCAGTTTTCTTTAGCTGAATACATTAGATAAGAAAGCAGCTGTAATCCAATTTCATCTGCACTATGATTAAGAACAATGTCTGCTGTGGCAGAATGATTTTGATAGGAAGATAGGTATGATGAAATACAGATGTTCTCACAAACCAGCATCTTACTGGCCTCTTAAATGGATTTATATCAGTTTGAACATTTATTTTAATAAATTTTTGTTTTTATACTCAGGTTTTTTAATAACTGATGCATTTAAATATTGGTTTAAACCTAGACATGTTTGTGCCCTAAAGTTACATTTTTTTACAAGGAACATTTAACAAGTAATATAGCAAGGACACATGTAAAAGTAATTCATTTTTTGAAATTTGTTTTAATTATGGAAAAATGCTTTACAAATTATGTTTCACACATTATTTTAAAGTAGTTTTTTTATTTTTTGGTGGTTTCCTTATCTTACTGGGATTTGGAATCAGTTTCTTTATTTTTAGGGGCTGTAAAGTTACAGCAGAAGTATTTTGCTGACATTCAACAAGTTTTCGCTTATTTGTAGTAAGCTCTTCAAAGGAGGTTTCTAAAACACTTGGATCTTGCATTTCCAAAGTTTCACCTTCTGTATCTTCCAGGGAATCTTTAGTGTTGTCTTGAAGCCATGGCACATGTAAACCAGGTACCCTGGGAATTATAGCTTTTAGTTCATCAACAAAGGCTTCGGTGTTTTTTTTGAAACCCAGAGCTAGAACACACTTTAAACCAATAACAGGTGCAATGCTTTCACTAAGGCGAGGAACTTGGCAAGCTGGTACAGCTCTGCTGACACTCAATTGAATCAGGTGGGAGGTCATTATAGCGGGTCTGACAGATTTGCACACTAGGACTAAAAGAAGTTCATTTTTCTCTAAAGCTCTGGTTACTTCATTAATCCCAATAGCAAGTTGTTTCCTGATATGTACAGGAGTCCATCCTGGTACTTTCTGGCTAATTTCCGTTTCTTTTTTCTTTGGAACTTCTTCATTATCAACAGTACCTTTGTCTTTGGTTTGTCTTTTTGAAAAAGGCCGTTTTTTCTTCTTTGGATTCTCAATCTTTTGAAGTCCAACATGTTTAAATCTGTCTTCCAGTGTCTGTAATATGAAGTGCATATCTTCTCTTTCCAGAGTACTCCAGTTAATAGCATATGGGTTATTCAGCGATGTCTTTACAGTAAATGATTTTGCTTTTCGTATAGATCCCTTCCCTGATGCTGCAGCCATCTCGAATGTTCTTTGACACCAAAACTATTAAAGAAAGTTAACATTAATTGGGAGCCCTTATTTAAAATAAATGTTTTCAGCAAATACATCTTGTTTGTTGTCTTATTCTGGAATTACTAAATTTTTAAAAGTCCTATTTTTATAGCCATTCCACTAATTTAAGACTCCTCTAAAGCAATATGGTATTACTTTCATTGAAACCTATCATCATTCTTTCAGTGACAAAAACTGCAATCAATATCATCAGTCACAGAAAATGTCATTTGAAATCTAAATTATAAACTGCAGCGTACTACAAATTTATGAGCAAAAGTAAAAATGTTTGCTTCTCTGCATAAATATCTAACACTACTCCAAGTACTTATAATAAAAGCAGTAGACATTTAACTCCTCCTCTTCTTTTTCTTTCTACTAATTTCCTGAGAGAAGGGGATTGTTTTTGCCTCTTTGTATTGCCAAAGCCTAGCACTGGATACAAAGAAGATGATTAATAACTACTTGCTGACTACCAGAAAGATATTAGACTGTATCAAAAACTATTCTAGACTGAGGAAGACATCTGACACCTGTGTGCCTTATTTCTTCCACAAGTTCCACATTCTGGTCAGCTCTACTACTTATATGTGAGTCTGTATATGCATATATACACATGTATATGTGTGTGTTCTTCACAAAGTAAAGTCTATCACAGGCCCCCTGATTTCCAACAAGATATTAAGAGATAACCCGCATATCTGAAAGAGCAGAGGACTGGAGTCAAAAAATCTGCGTTCTATTTCCTTTTGGGCCACACACATCCCCCTTTCTTTTTCTTACCTTAGTTTTGTACTTTGGGAAAATAACTATAAAATGGTACACAGCACCTACCCTCCGTCCACTGGTCAGATTAAGGCAAACACGTGCCAAGTCAAAGTAGGGAATAGCTCTAGGGAAAAACTGAACCCTGGGAGGGCCGGGGTTAAATCTGATACAACAAAAATTCTGGAAACCTTAGTTGACCGTAACTCACTCCAGGTGAAAGTAATCTCTTCCTCCAATTTATAGTTAACCATTTGCCTGGATTATTTCCTTGACACTTCTCCCCCAGGAATAACTGGTCTTTCTCTAGTGCAGGGTAGCTTAAAATTTTTCTACTCGCGACCCCTTCAGCACTTCTTAAAACTGTGAGTCGCGACCTCTTGTGCACTGCCCACCAAAACCCCACCTTCTACAAGACTGAGATCGAGCTTCCTTAATCCAAATAGCTTCCCTCTTGGCTTACCGTCGATACAAATACACAAAATACACGCACACACACTCTAGAGACATGGAAAAAAGCCATACAAACTATATACGTACATGTATATAGATAAGTAACAGATGTAAGCCACATATATATCTTGTTTATATATAAAGCGATAATGAAGCTATATAGTTTGTACATTAGGTTTTTCCCATGTTGCGTCCTCTATTAGAATACGAGTTCTCGTAAGGGCAGTGACTGCTTTTGCATTTCTTTCCATGCCTCTAGCTTGGTACTGTGCCCAGCACACAACAGGTGTTTAATAAATGCTCGCTGATTCGTCCCTCTCCCCCCTCCCGCATGCAAAAGGAGCTTTGTAAGTGCTTGCTGAACGAATAAATGAAGGCCTACCGGGAAGAAGCCCGTTCGGGTCAGCATGCCTAGTCGGCGTGAGAAGCGCGGGTGGGCCAGGTAGGCCCGCCAGCCAGGGGGCTCGCCCTACGCTGGGCTGCTGCCCTCGGTCACGATGCCGCCCCCGGGCCGGGTGAGAACGAACCCCGGGCCTGAGTCACGCGGCCCTCAAAGACAACGAGAGTCCCCTCCCTCTCACGGGGCATGGCACGCACCTCACATCAGTCCAGGGTTCTTCCAGCTCCGGAGGTTTCCCCACAAAACTAGCGTCAGCTTCCAGGTCGCCTTAGAGTGAGCATGCGCACGGCCCGCCCCTTCCGGAAAGAGAAGGGAGAGGAGATAGGAACTCGCAAAGCTCAAGACCGAAGCTCTCGCGCGAGAATGAAGACCCGCCCTTCCCGGCCTCCAGCCAATAAGAAACCCAAGTGTGCGCCGGATGTGCTCCGTCTTAAGGATTTTACGGCTAAAGAGCGAAAGACAGGAATGGGCGGGGGAATTTCCTTCCGGGTGCTGAAGTGTAGGTTGCCATGGTAACGAAAACCTGCGCCAATCACCAAGGAGACCGCCATCCTCTCATGTGTTCTGTGATTCTCAACTTGGTTGTGCTGCAGCCTAAGCCTCGGGGGCTCCGAATTTGAAGGGCCCAGGGGTTAATTAGCGATGCCAGCTCTAGCCCCTTAAAGGCAGGGGCCGTCTCTGACCCCGTAGATTGGTTTGCAATTCTTTGGGGAGCTGTTAGACATCTTTTGACACCTATTTAGGTTAGTTGTCTGGGTATCAGATATTCAATTCAGTAAACATTTGTAAGACGCCCTACTATGTGCCGGGCACTGGGCTAAGCGCTGGGGACGCAAAAAGAGGCGACAGCCTCTGCCCTCAAGAAGCTTACTACCTAATGGGGGAGAGAGACTACGTGCAAACAAATATATACAAGGATAAATAAGAACTGATTAAAAGGCAGAAGGCACTGGAATTTAGAGGCGTTAGGGAAGACTTCCTGTAGAAAGTGGAGTTTTAGAGGTTTAGCTGGGACTTTAAAAAAGCCTTAAAATGCTATTATTGCCTTCCCCTTGAGATTACCTCCCATTTACAACGGAGGTACCCTCTTTTTTTTTTCTTTTAATGTCGAGATAATTGGGGTTAAGTGACTTGCCCCGGGTCACACAGCCAGTAAGTGTCAAGCGTCTGGTCTGAGACCAGATTTGAGCTCAGGTCCTCCTGACTCCAGGGCCAGAGCTCTATCCACTGTGCCACTTAGCTGCCGTCAAGCATTTAGCACAGTAGCTGGCACAGAGTAGGTGCTTATTAAATGCTTATTGGTGTGATATATCTATCAGAGATATTTGATATAAATATTTTTGCCCAGTTAATTGTTACTTTTCAAGTTGCAATGCTAGAATGTATCTAGCATTTTGCCAGTTACCATTAAATTGTTTCCTTCAATAACCTCTAAATTCTCATCAAACTGTGATCCTACAAATACTCCCCTAATAAGGCAAGAGGGCATTGGTGTCTTGAAAATGTCATGAGTTGCCCCACCCATGTGTGTTCTGTGCCCATAACCTTTCATGCATAGTCTGTGGCCACTTTTGTTCCCTATGGGTGTAGCCCTCTACATATGTCTTCTGGTCTCTTAAGTTCTCTGTCCTTGTCCTTTCCCAACTAGTAACAGGAACTTGTGGATGGTATACCCCTGTGGGCAAAGAGGAAATCTTTCTTGTCCCTTGTTTTGCTATGCCATTTGGTTAAATTGTATTTCTTTTGGAATTAACAAATTTTCAGTCCTGTCTTCACAGTGTTGTGAAGCTCAAATGAGATAATATATGCAAAATACTCTATAAAAGCACTCCATTAAGGTACTTTACAAATATTGTTTAGTAGGAGGAGGAGGGAGGCAAGGAAGAGGAAGAGGATAGCTAATAAAAGTAAAGCTATAGCTTTGTGTAAATGCTGATCTACAAAGTACCTGAAACTAGGAGTAGTTTTCTGGGGCCCACATGCAAGGAGGCTCTGAGTACTATACCTGAATCATTCCTTTCACTGTGATAACCTTTCCTCAAGGAAGGGCAGTGATCAGGAAAGTGCTAAAGTCATTTCTGGACATTTTTCTTGATATGCATGTAAGGTGCTCCCAATATGGTAGTTAGGTGGCACAGTGGATAGAATTGGGAGGATCTGAGTTTGAATCTTGCCTCAGAAAATTACCAACTGTGTGACCTTGGACAAGTCACTTACCCACTCTCAGCCTAAGTTTCTTCATCTGAAAAATGAGGATAATAATAGGACCTCCCAGAGTTGTCACTGTGAAATGAGATAACATATATATACTTGGTAAACCTTAATGTGCTATATAAATGCTAGCTATTGTTATTACATACAGCACATAAATACATGGCCTCCATAAACAGAGCAGGCTCCCTGGCTAGAAGGATTTATGACAGAAGGCATAGACAAGCCAACTCTTCTATACAGCAGACATGTTAATTGTGTTTAACTTGCATAATATAACAAGTGGATATTCAATATACACAACAGCCAACTTTCCATCATGGGGCTGACCTCAGTCCATCAGTCAATAAGCTGGGTCTTGAAGTCAGGGAAGCCAGGAGGCAAACATGAGGAGGGACAGCATTCCAGACCAGGATGACAGCCAGTGAGAAGACAAGGACTCAGGAGATGGGAGGGTCATGTTTGAGGAACTGCTAGAAGGCCCCTGTCACTGGACGGTAGATTTCTTGGAAGGGAGTGAAGCATAAGAAGAGTGGGAAAGCAGGAGGGGGATAGGATTTGAAAGGCTTTACAAACTGTCTGGCTCTCCTGTTCCTCCTGGATATTTGGCCAAGTTACTACTCATGAATACTCTACAAGAGGATACAAGGGAGCAGGGGAAAGAGAAGGAGATCTAATTCAAGTTCATTTATTTATGGACTTCTAGAATGTGGGCCCTTAAAAGATCCCTAAAGAGTCTATATAGTTCAACACTCCCATTTTATTGATGAGAAAATGGAGGCCAAGGGAAGGGAAATGACTTTTCCAAGGTCATAAAACAAATTAGTAGCATAAACTCCACTAAAACCACATTTTCCCGACTCTCCCAATCCCAAGTTCTTTAAATTACAGGATTCCGCTTCTCCAGTTTGGTAAATGATTCAGTTGGGAAGGAGAATGATTCAGACTTGAGATTTGGGGAGAGGGTGACAGCTCTCTGTGGATTTCATTTATCTTTGCTCTTCCTGTTCACTGAGTTGGTTAATTGGCCAGGCAGAAATTGTCCTGGGGGGGTGGGGTAAGGGGAAGCAGTTTTCCTTTGGGCTCTAGGAAAGAGAAAATGTTTACCAGCATCATTTTCTCACATTTTCCTGAGTCCTTTTACCAGCAGATGGAAGCAGAGCAGCAGGACTGAAGTTCTGCATGTGAGAACTCCAGCCTGCCTCCCAGCTGTGCTCAGTTCCTCTGGAGAAGTTTCAGCACAACATGAACAGGATCATGTACTTCTCATAGTTGTGGTGGTGGAAAAGGAGCACTACCCTTTATCTTAGATTTTTGTCTGCATTACTGCACAATATGTGGGTGGCATTTGGCTAGTGGTCTAACTCCATCTGTGCAAAAATAACTTGTGTTCAAACAATGATCACTTCCATTTCTATCGCACTTTATGGTTATCTCAGTTCTTACAACTGCTCTGTAAGGGTACTCTATCCACTAGCTATCTATCAGTCTTTATCTCCATTCCAACCTTATACTTAGAGGCTTTAATATACATGTCTATGTCCTCTTAAATACCATAGCCTCCCAGTTCATCAGCCTTCTGAATTTTCCAGACCTTCCTCTTCATTCCACCTCAGACGTACACCTAGGTCACACCTAGGTTCCTGATTGACTTGATATCATGTCCCTCACACCTATTCCAAATCTCTTCTCTCCTTAAGTCACCTATACCACTACCAATTGCTTTGCACCCACCTACTCCAGGAGAGTAGCTCACTTCTTATTTTAGAAAAATTAGAGCTCACCTACCCCCCCCCCCATATTATCTGCTTGATTTTGTACCTCAGACTCCTCAGTATCACTCCCCTGTTCTCTTCTCCTTTTATCCAGTCCATGGTGAAGAGGTGGACACTTTCTTTGCTGAGGCCAATCCTCTCTTCTTGTACCCTCAATCCAAACCACTTTTGTCTCTTTTGGGATCTTGACACATTGATTGATCATCCCCCTCCCAATTTTTCATGGCTTCTTATCTACTGACTGCCTCACTGCTGCCATCAAACATGTTTAGGTGGCCTTTAGCCTTCCCTTGACCCTGCCCCCTCAAGATATAAGCCTATGTCTCTTCTCCTTTTTGGCTAACTCCTAGAAAAAGCTGTTCACAAAGAAACCAAGGGAAAAGAAATGTAAAGGAAGGAGATTCAGCAGTATTTTTAATTTAAGATGCCATGGGGTATCCAGGTGGGAATATGTAACAGAGTGGGTAATATGGGAGTGGAAGTCAGAAGAAAGATGAGAGCTGGATATGTAGATATGGAAGTAATCTGTATAGGGATAATTACTACTCACAGGAGTTGACGAAATTACTCAGGGAGAGTGTATAGAGAGAGGAGGGCTCAGGGCAGAGCCTCAGAGAACAGTCAGACTTGATAGGCTGGAGTAAAGTAATAATTAGCAAATTAAATAGCAGTGGTTAAACAGGTAGGAGGAGAAACAATGGAGCAATGTCAAATGAAAAGAGAGTCTAAAGGAGGAGATAGCTAATAGTGTAAAAAAAAATCAAAGACAAGTAGAAAGAGGATTGAGAAAAGGGCATCATAATTGGTGGTGGATAGCATTGCTAAACTTGTCAAAAGAAACTTCACTGAAGTGATGGGATCAGAAACTGAACTGTTAGAGATAGAGAAGTGGGAGGTGAGGCAAAAAAAAGCAATGAGTACAGACAATCTTTTCAAGGAGTTTGACTATGAAAGGGAGAAGGGTAGGTGACGGTGGTTAAATTTCATTTTTTAAAAAATTATAACTGCTTTTATTACTGTTTTAAAACCATAGAGAAATTGCCATACATATTTTAAAACATGCAAAAATAACAGAATGGTATATGAAACTACTCAATACCATTTTCTTTAAGTATATAATTCTGTATTTTCATTTCAAAGCGGTTCTGCTTATCTTGATAGTAGTTGAACTTACCTTGTGTGAATTTACACAATATATTACAGCG